CTTTGAATAATGATTCCTGTTTTGTAACCACAAAGTACTGTGAGCCTGCCAAAATGAAAAGTATATATGATCAACTTCACAAGTAAAGATTGGGATCAACACCTTCACTTTGGTGTCTGTGTTGTTTCTCCATCCCCTCTTTCGCCGACTCCTCACCATCCGTTCGTCTCCTGAGACCCCCTGTTGGAGCTGGTCTCCGACAGGGCTGGAAACCAGAGTGAGTGAAGGTGTCTCTTCACTGACGAGGAAGGGGATTTGTCCAGCAGCACTCTGCTGGCTCTTCTGATGCTTAAGATATTGGTGTTCTCAGAACTTCCTGAGATCCTCTGAAAGCTTACTCTGTGCTAGGCACTGTCCTAAATTCTTACAAGTGACAGTTTAATGCCCATAGAATCATGAGATTAGCCCAATAGAGCCACAGGACATTGGAGCTCAGAACTGACTTTGTTGCCCACGGTGGGCAGAGGTTGGAACCCAGGCCCCAGGTGCAGTGCACGGCTGGAGCCGGGGGCCTGCACAGCTGGTTCTGATCTGAACACAAACAGGACGATTAGGTTGGCACAGAAACATGAGGACAGGTGATGTGCTGTAGCCAGGCGCTGGCTACAAATGGACCAAGGAGGCATTTAAACACCTTATTCTAGTGTTTAGATTCAGAAACAGAGGATGGAAGAGGGTCCTAATTTGAAGTCTTGTGGTTGTCATTAAGATGAGTTATTTTATCTGCATGTGTGATGGATTGAATTGTGTCGCCCCCCCCACAATTCACGTGTCAAAAGTCTTAGCCCCAGAACCCTAATTCCTATACCTAAAATGTGTGTAACCCAAATCCACCCATCACAGTCTTAGCCCCCAGAGCCTTTGTTTTTACAGAGATCATTAAGTTAAAGTGAGGTCACTGGAAGAGGCCCTATTTCAATATGACTGTGTCCTTATAGAAAGGGGGAATTTGGACACACAGACACATAAAGAGGGAAGATCATAAAAAGAAATATAGGAGCTGGATGCAGTGGCACACGCCTGTTATCCCAGAGGCTCCGGGAGGCTGGGGCAGGAGGATCGTGAGTTCAAAGCCAGCCTCAGCAAAGGCAAGGTGCTAAGCAACTCAGGGAGACCCTGCCTCTAAATAAAATACCAAGTAGGGCTGGGGGTGTGGCTCAGTGGTCGAGGGCCCAAGTTTAATCCCCGGTACAACAACAAATACAACAAAAAGTCATCGGAGGAGGGAGGGAAGCCTGTGGCAGGTCCTCCCTCACAGCCCCCAGTGGCTGCCACCATGCGTGTGGACGTCAGACCTGCAGCCTCTGGATGATACTTTCTGTTATTAAGCAAACTGCTCCATAGTACTTGTTACAACAGCCCTAGAAAATTTACAGCTTAGATTAGGTCACAATGCTCTTCGCTGAAACTAATAATCTTAATCTATACCCCGACCTGTTTTTCCCCTAAAGCAAACGATCCAGTGAAACCTGAGACTACAGTTTGTTCAGTTGAAGGAATTTCTCACCAGTATACGTTTGCCACCACCTGAAGAGTAAGGTGTGAGAACAAAATCATCAGATATCTCACCTGGGTTAGCAAGGCGGCTACTTGTTGGTCCAAGAATCTGGTAAGGATCTACAGCAGAAAGAGAAGAAGTCAAATCCAAAGGCTCACTGTGACTTAGTACCCTGAGTCTTCAGGCTAACAGAACCGATTTCTGTATTTCAGAACTGAAATCGTTCCCTGTCCCCAAAGTACCTGCCTCCATCTCCTTTAGGAGGTGCCACACGGAATCCCAGAGATGCTTCTTGCTAAAGGCTTCCTGGGTAGTAGCAGGACTTGGATTCCCAGATTCCCAAAACCTGGCCCACAGCTCCCTCTAACCCAGGACCAGAACAGGGCTATGAATTTGTGCCGAGTGCCCAGGCTGGCCATTTCAGCTCAGGGCCACATCGACCTTCCTCTGCTTTTCCACCTGGCATGTGTAATCGTCCTGGCCCTGGTGCACACAGCACAGGAAGTAAAGTTAAATGAATTTGTAGATCTCAAAGACACAAATATTTTTTTTTTCCCATTTTTCAGCAAAATCTCAAAGTCATCCCAAAAGAGTGGACAGACTGTTTGGCCCCTGGTTTATATATGAAGAAAGACATAAACTAAGTTCTTTTCAAAGATGGCATGTTTTAGACGTTCCCTGATGCCCTGGGTCCTCTCTTATGACCATCCGGAGGGGTCCTGAAACGTACCTAGTTGAGGACGTTGGTCTTCAGTTTTGGGCACTGTGGAAGGAGACGGCTGAGCAGCTGGAAATTCAAACACACAAAAAGAGGACTGGCTATAACTTAGGTTTGGGTTGGCCACTCGTCTTTGATGTTGTTGATTACATAATGGTTCCATCGATTACTTTCATTATTAAGATGATAATCTGACTCTTTTAACAAGAAGCAACTTACGGTGAGGACAAATTTCCCTTTCCAATGAGAGCAAATGAAGACATTGTACCAAAAAGAAGGATTTAAATTTTCCATTATTTAAAAATTTTGTGACTACCTTATTCCTTTGAAAAATAAAAAAGGAAGAATTTGAGATGGTTTACAGAATAGGAAAGAAAAATGACTCATATTGTAAAATAAACAGATAAAAGAGAAACCATGAGGAAAATAAAGTGAGGCAGAGCCAAAATTGAGGAAAACACCAGTCATTGGGTCTGTCCTTGGACATCTTGTCAAACACGCACCTCATTCCCTCCTTTCTGTTCCGAAGGTAGGTCTAACCCAAACAGCATTTACAGCTGGTTGTGCTTTGTGGCCGAAGGAGTAAGCCAACCACTTGTTGAAAATTATAGATTAATTAAATTGTCATTTACTCCATCAGCAGTCACACACACCTGGTGACATGCAGATCAAGGCAGAGGGAGACAACTCTGTACCTTTTGACTGAGGGGTGGGGTGGCCATGACTGGTCCAGGCTGATCTCCTGGGAGGCTCATAAGGTAAATCTGGAAAGACAAAAAGGTGGACTCAAAAACCCAATAATGCAATTGTTCTAACAGATTTTTAAAAAGATTTTATGTTTATTAGAATAGATAGCTTATAAGAAAGTCTAGTAATAGAAAACAGCATTCAACCTATGTGCCATAGATCTTGGTTCTATGTACAAATTATACTTTTGTATATTTTGTTGACATAACAAAATTATCCATTCTCTCTTCCATTTATCTGAAAATTCCTATTGGCAGATTCCTCCAGAGCTTGCTGACTCTTCTGAAGCATTTTTCTCCAATCAGAGGTCGAGGCCATGTTAAAGTTGTTTTTTGTTTTTGTTTCTTACCATCTAATTTGTCCTGCTTTCATCTTGGACAGACCCAAATCCACCCCTCTGTTGGATGACCCTCCCTCCAGCTTAGCTGATTCACCCACTTCCTGTTTGTGGTCTGCACCAAAATCCATCAAGAGGCATCTGGACTCCTCCTTCCCATCCCTAGGAACCATTGCTACCTTGGATCCTCACATTTGTGAATTGACGCCCGTGGTTTCCTCCCATTTTTCCGTCTGTTTACACTGCCAGTCGTAACTGGTCTAGTTATGTTTCTAGGCAAATGTCCATTCTTTCCCCTTTTCCAAACAAATTTAGAATGTCTCTAAAATTAATTGTATGAAATGAATTAGAGGACATTACAAGAACTACAGAATTGCCCCACAACCTATTAATGATGACCTTCAGAGCTAAGGACATGTCGATGAAAATATGTCCTGGATCCTTGATTCTTAAACTGTGGTCCACAGACCAACAACATCAGCAGCACTTGGGAGTTAGTTAGAAATGTCAAATCTTACTCCATGATTTCTTCGTGTTTGTATGGTGATCTCACTTGTCCATAAACCTCCATTGCACTTTGCAGAGTAAATCTAATAACTGTGCTTCTGCCTCCTCAGTGTGAGTCCTATTAATGAGCACCAAGACTCTATGTTATTTCAAGTTTCTTTCAAAAATATATTTCAAAAATATTATTATGCCGGCTCTCACTCACTATGCATATGCAAAGCTGTTCCTCCTTGCAATCTGATTACAGAGTCATTTCACAACTGCTTCTTGGATCCAGGGGCCTCAGTTCAATGCAAATGTCCACCTGGGGCCAACTGAAAGCCATAGCCAGGTATTCCAACAGGTGTTCTCCTTCCAGACAGCAGGAGATGGCTATAACAACCTCACTTGGAGGCAGGCAGTGCCGTCATCGTTAAGCCTCTCTTTAAACAAACCATTTAATCAAATTTAAAAGTGGCATTGGGGTGGGTCAGTCTTCAAAGAGCTTGACCAAGTTGCTGAGCATGTGTCTCTTCCTATTTTCATATCCCAAAGAGAATAGAAGTGATATGTGATGTGAAATCCAACACAGGATTGCCTTAATTTATTTGGTCTGTTTGGCTGCAAGCATTGCGACTGGGGTGGTCTCTGAAACCCTACCCTCCTGAGCTTTGAAGGGTTAGAGAATTTTTCTTTTTAAACTTGCTGTTGCTCACTTTCCTTCTCGGCTGGCAGTCTTGCAGGAGACCTTCAGCTTTTCCCACCCAGCTCCTCAGAGTTTCACTTTTCTGGAGTTGGGATTGCACGTGGGAATTACATTTGCAGCCGCTATCAATTTACAACTAAATTTCAACCGAACTCTCTGGGAGCATTTTGCACTGTACAGATTCTTAAAAAAAAAAAAAAAAAAAAAAAAAAAAAAAAAAAAAAAAGGTTAGCCAGAGTCTCAATATGAGAATTGTCTCAGAAAGAAGACTCTATGAGTAATGCATCACCTACCCCAATTCATGAGCAGACAGGCACATATTTACCAAAAGAAAAAGCAAGATACCATGGAAATATGTCCTGGATCCTTGTTTCTTAAACTGTGGTCCATGGACCAACAACATCAGCAGCACTTGGGCGTCAGTTAGAAATGTCTAATCTTGCTCCAGACCGACTGAGTCAGGTTTGGCATTTTAATAAGATTCCAGGTGACCTGGGTGCACACTGGAGTTTTGAGAAAGCCACCACTAGGGAATTTCCTCTGGTCCTCTTGATTCCACATTCTTGCAGGTAACGATTTCAGAATGCTCTCTGGAGTGTGCCACTACAAATTTCAAAGAGGGCCGTGAGCTCGAGAGCGCCTGCTTCTCCCTGCGCCAGGGGACTGTGCCTCCGCTCTCGCTGGCGTCCGTGGGTAGCTCAGACACGACTGCGAACCCAAAAGCTTCGCAGATGAAGTGTGACTGGAAAAACACCAAGCACCAAACTATGACTACAAAAATATTTTCCAACCCTTTATTCATAAAAGTCCTTTTCAGGATGAATAAGCACGTCCTCTCCTCCCTAGACAATCAGCCGGGGCCTGAACACACCAGACAGCATCCGACTCTCAGCCAAGTGCGCGAGACGTCGCTGGGCGTGATGGACGTGTCCATAAACACGCTGCACGGCAGCTCCCTTTTGTTTTCCTTCATGCCATTCTGGGCTGGCCTTCCTTGTCAGATACGGATCACATGCTGTGGCACGGAGCTGCCCCCTGTGGGACGTGACACTGGGAAGCGCTGACCCTGGGAACCGCTGGTGTGAGGGACACAGGGTGATGCCTCTAGCGCCACACCAGGGTGGGTAGTTCCACTCTTGGTTCCCTAAAAAGTGACGGCCCCACGTGTCCTGCCTGCCATTTGTCCTTTATCACAGCAGGCACGGGGTTGGGTAAGGATACAGTCCGTCTTGGTTTTGGGGGATCATTTCAACACCCTCATCGTTTCTCTTCAACTTCCACTTTCAAGGGCTTTTGCTCCAGTGCCTGGCAGGTTCCGTGGGTGGGAAAGCTGCCGTCTGGCTTCGTTGTGCTCTTCCTCCTGCACAAGACAGGGTTTAGAAGCTAGACTTCATCCAAACGACTTCCCAGGCGTCTTGGGCTGACTGTAGAGTGTGCTACACACCGTGATCCAGACAAGAAATAATGTGACGGCACCAGGGAGCCTGGCGGGTGCTGCTTCTCCACACTCGAGAGATGGAGGGGTACATTTCCTGGGAACAGGATGAGTTTCCGATTCTGGGTGAGGCTCCTTCCCACGGCATCTTCCCAAGACATCAGCAAATCAGGACGTCCTGGCTGCCCTTCCCAGGAGGCTGAGTTCTCACCAAGTTCTCGGCTCTCCTTCCCCCAGCTCACTGACACTGAGCGCACTAGAAGCCTCCCAGTCACTTCTGCCAACTAAAAGTCCAGAACCAGGATCACAGAAGAGCTCACTTGCACAGGATCCAAGCCCAGTTTGCAAAGCCACTGCGGAGGCCCCTGGCAGGGCTGGCTGGGAAAGGAGGAGACAGGCCCTCTCCCACACGCTCGGATGCCAACGGGAAGTCAAACTTGGAAAGACTGAGAGCTATTTCCCAGAATCATTCAATAAATTCCTGTTCAGTGGAAGGGATTGAGAGTCAGCCCTCATGCCATTAAGCTCATCTTTCTTGTCTTCCTCCAGATCGTCCTAAAGTCTTCTAAAATCCTGTTTGCATCCTCTTCTTGCCCAGGTGCACAATTCTGTGGTTCTGGTATAGCTATAGGGGAGCAAAGAACACCTGGAACCATCTGCTGAGATGCAGGCTTTCCATGGCACCTGAGAGCTGGCGCACTGTCCCGCCGTGCTTGGTCACACTGAGCAGCACTGAGCTGAGAGCGCCAATGCAGGGGTGATTTAAGATCCCAAGAAACTCCCAAAGAACAGCAGCTTCAGAGTAGAAAGCAAGGCTGTGTGTGCAGGTCACACTCTTCAGTCACCTTTGATAACAGGCAGATGCTCAGCCAGATACCCGAGTTGTCATGGCGATGCAGGAGGAAGGAAGTGCTAGTAGAATGTCACCCTTGTGACAGAATGGAGCTTCGTAGGACTGCTCCTACGAGACCAGGCAGATGGTGCATCATGAGGTCGAATACTTTGCAATGTTCTGTGGCTCACACCTGTTTTTATCCTGAGGTCTCAAGGGGCTGTGGCTTCAAAAGGAGCAGAATTAGCAAAGGAGAAAAGTGTTGACAGAGGAGGGGGAAAGGGTTTCTGGTAGCAATAACTGTGACAACTCAAAAAACACAGTACTGTACAATAATGACCATAAAACCACAGCATGTAAAATAACAGGTCTCTGTGCCAATATTTTATAGAGACTGATCTTAGTGCTAAGGCAACACAGGGGTCATGGAAGGTGTGTTTCGAATCAGGAAAGTATAGGGACAAGTAGGGGCTAGAAGGGATGAGGCATGAGCAAAGGAGGTGAGCACTGACCAGAGGTGGCCACCTGCAGGGTCACTGAACAGTCTTGGCCAACCATGAGGTGGGACTGAAGGACAGGGGCTCTGGAATCAATGACTCACTGAGGAAGTTCAGCCATGATAAAAGGAAAAGGCAGACTGGGACAGCAGCCCAGGAAGGGGTGACCCAAGGCAGGAGGGAAAGGAGGCAGGGTGGGGAGGGGGCACCAGGAGGAGGACAGGACGGAGATACCCGCAGGTGGAAGGGCCTCACAGAAAGGAGAATGCTATTCAGACTAGCACAGCGGGAAGACCATCCCGCTTCTCCTACAGGGACTCTGTGGTGAACAGCCGAGTGCACAGAAGGGTCTGGACAGACTTTCTGCTAGGAACCTGGCTTGGTTCAGGGTCAACACAAGGACGCCAGCCAGGGTCCTCTGTGCCTCATCCCATGAAGATCACAAGGGTGTAGGGGGCAGGAACTTGGGGCTCTACTTCCAGGTTAGAGTCCAAGAGTTAACAGTCATCTCTTCTGAAAGCCACTGGCCACAGGGACAGGGCTAGATTCCCAGTGGCCCTTGCTCCGTGACTCCTGCCACTCTGGGAATCACAAGTACCAGGCCCATTCTCCCTGAGGCCCAATCCCAACCTCTTAGGCCCGGCGGCTGAGTGGTTGATTCTTGGCGATGGCTGAGCCAAAAGGTCAAATCCCTGAATCTGGCCTACAGTAAATATCCTCTGGCTTCTCCAGTCTGATTTACTTTCTTTACAAGTCAGATACCAATATTTGTATGCATTTTCATAATGACAGTAGTAGTAACCAGAATGGGAATTTCTAAAGACAAATCAAGTCCCAGAAGCAGACTGTGCTAATACTAAGGGAGCAGTGAAAGTGTGAGGCCTCCCAAGTCTGCTTAAACGATGGGCACATGGAAGGGCACCATCAAAGCGATGGGTGAAGTTGGAATCTGTCACCCTGGCCCTCCCTGGGCTTGGGGACAGAGGGAGGCCAGCATCTCCTCTGCTGCCACCCTCCTTTTGATACTTCTGGGTGAGCCACAACTTCTGGGCCTACCACATTCCAAAACATGAAGAAAGTATGGCAGGGCCTGCTGTTCTACCAATCAGCTGGTCTGACCAATGGGTTAGGCGAACAGAGTTGGCCAATGATGTGGTCAACTCACAACATGAGCTCACAAGCCCAGGCCTTGAAACTCAGCAGGTGATATCCATGAGACAGCTTTAAACAAACGAGTTTTTAAAGTTAATTCATTGTTTTTTGAGGGGGAGGAGGTACTAGGGACTGAACCCAGGGCCTCATGCCTGCCAGGCCGGCTCTCTACCCCTCAGCTACATCCCCAGCCCAATTGACCATTCCTTAAAGGCCAAATGTTTTGCAGATAAGTTTACTTTTCTAAAGTATGGATGGAAACATCTCTGAAGTGCTCACAATGTCGCTGCCGCCCTTCCCTGTGTTTACCCCCACGCGCACTTGCTAGCCGTGAACTCAGACATCTCTAGAGCCAGAGGTGAGCTACTTGTTTTTCATTTTCAATACACTTGGTGGGGTTCTTTGGGACCAATCTGGTTTATTGCAGACTCTAGGTCCTGTCGGCATATCAATGGCCTCTAACATGACAGGTAAGGACTCGAGCTCAGCCTTCCCACCGTGCTTCCCAGGAGCAGGGGAACAAGCTTTGAATCTCAGACTGGGGGAGAGAGAACCACAGCAGAGTCCCCCTGGCAGTCACAGGGCAGTACAGAGGTAGAAACCTCCCCAGAGAGCTCCTGGTCCACGCCCGTCCAGCTCCTCATCCCGTCCTCATCATGGGAAAGCAGCCGCAGAGCCACTCGGACCACTTCAGCCGAGGCTGATGCGGCTGGGTGTGGACAGAGTTAGAGGGCAGCCTGGGTCTCGGAAGACACGGGTTCCACATTTAAATATGGAGGAACCAGCCAGTGCCCAGGATCACGACTCCTCTACCTTGAGCTGGCACTAGTACACTCAGCTCCCAGGTGGTCCCAAGATGCTGAGGGGACGGGTGTCCAGGGATGGCAGCACCCTCGGTCTCAGGTGCCCTCTCCTGCTCACTCTCCTCCTGGCAAAGGCCTGGTCCTCCTGGGGCCTGGGCCCAGTCCTGTGGGAGGCTCCTGACACCTCTCAGGTGGGCTGCATCTCTCCCGGCTCCTGCGGCTGCCCCCTCTGGGTTTTACAGCTACAGGGGGCCTCTGCTGTAAGATCCAGCTCTCCAGGTTCAGCCTTTAAAATCCTTGTCTGCTCCTCTGGCTCTAAGTGCTCTACGGAAGCATCTAGAAATTTAAGCATTTCCTCTAGCTCACAGCTGTGCCCTCTGTGGCCTCTACAGGGGGCACTCAGCACCGAACAGACCCAGGAGCCCAGTCGGCAGGTGAGCTCTCCAAAGACAGCCAGCCTCCTGGGGTCTGGTTCGTGTCTATAGTCCCAGGGTCTAACTTCACGCTTGGCACTAAGAGACACTCAATACACGTTGATTTTTGGGTGAGTGACATGTAAATCAATCACCTAAGTGAACCTTCTTACAAGTGAGATTCAGAGGTAAGTATTATCTATCCTGTGCTCCTACTCGAAAGATTGGCTTCCTGTGCCAAGCTGGGAATTTGGTCACTACAGCTCTGGAGATGCCTCTTGCTTTGTGCTCTCCCCCGAGGAAAGATGACACAGCAGTCCTTCCATCAACCTGAAATTACACGTATTACTTTTTCTCAGGCACCCTGGGCGCCTTTGTTGCCCATCTGTCTTCAGAGCAGCGAGTTAGAGAGCTAATGTTCTTCTAACTCAGAAGTTCGGACTCCTTTCCTGGGGTCTCTGAATGCTGTGCTTAGACTGGATTTAGTTTTTGAATCAACAGGGGCAGCAATAAGACTGTGGGGACTCCTTTCAGACCCGGGATTGGCTCTCTGTACATGGGACTTAGGTCCCGGCTGTCAGCGGGACATCTGGGCTCTCTCAGTGGGGGTCACGCGGGGCTGTTGGCGTACCTGGCCTAGTTGTAATTCTTTGCGTAGCTTCAGGATATACTGAAGTATTTGGGAAAATAAAAGCTGCACCCCCTGCAGAGAAGGAAAGACAAAACATGTGAAGGTCTGCGTGGAGGTTGTCCATCTCAGCCTCAGCCAGTCCACCTGCCCTGTGACCACGAGGAGGACCTCCTGGGAGCTGCTCACCAGGCCTCAGGGGAATGAGCAAGACGGGGCCCAGAAACGGGTTCTGCAGTGCGCAGCAGCCTGCTCTCCCGTGCTCTGTTCGCTGTGAAGCACTTTGTGTTTCAATTTCACAGCTTCTTCCCAGAGCTTCACCTGTGACCCACCAGCAATTTCATTTTATTTAAAAAAAAAAAATTCTGTGGTGCACATTTTCCCCCCAATTTGTATAAAAACCCATAAAATATTTTACAGATCTCTTAGAAAATAGTACCAGGGACTTGGAAATATTTTGCTTAGGACTATATGGATATCATTAGAAATCAACCCACGGCTACTCAACTGCATGTTTTCTCATTCCCTTTTCAATCAATGCTCATAGTGTCAGCTGAGAAAATTCCCTTTTCAACATTCAGTCCATTTGGAATTAATTGTCCTGCTTTTTGAATGCTTTTATGTTTAACAATATAAAGTTAATGAATTCAGAGCTTTCTTGAAATTTTCGTTCACTGTTAGAGTTTTTTAATGACTGTGAAATTATCAGAAAATGTGCGTAGCTCCAAGGTGTCTCCTCAGAGGGGAACATTACTTTGCCCGTTATTTGTTGTTTCTGGCCACAAGATCATTAGCAGGTTCAATTGAAAAGGTCTACTACCAACTCAAAGCATTTGTTATGTTATATGAAAAGCCTGATCTTTTGAATACAGAATGAGAGAAACAGCAATTTCATCATAACAGTCAAACTAGGACTCACTCGGGTTACACATTTTCAAATAGAAGGTTGGACAGTTGGGAAATGGCTGTGTTTCTCCAGGAGGGTGGCCCCTGAGCTGGCTGGCTGGCTTTTGAGGCCCGCCAAGCCTCTAGGCCTTGCTGCTTTTCCCCCTAGCCTGGGTGGTTGTGGAGGGTCCCTGCAGGCTACCCAGGGGGTGAGCGACTCCATCAGGAGGGAGGAAATGGAGGCAGACCCAGAGCACACCCACCCACAGAGAACCAGGCTCAACTGAGCCCAAGGAAAGGGAGGAGGGTTAGCCAGAAGGAAGCTCTGGGTTCCACCCCAGCAGGCCCAGGCCTGACCATAAACCAGTGGTTAGAGAGAGAGGCATGGGGTCAGTGACCACCGTCCTACTCTCCAGTTAGAGCAGAATTTCCCTCAGAGCCAAAGTTCCAGAGAAGTTAACAGACATTCTCTCGGACTGCGTTTCCCCAACAAACACGTCCGAGCCAGACAAGTCTGATGACCCAAAACTGTATCAGGAAGGAAAACACAACCCCAACTTGTAGTAAGCAATCCCTTGGGAATCCTACTGGGGGAAAATGGAGGTGACTGGGGATCCCGCTACACCAAACAAGCTGTACATGTCTATTCTGGAGTCCGCAAGGTGGACGCCTTGGGATCAGCAGCAGAATGCTGTAATCCAGCCAAGGTAGGCTGAAGTTCAACCTCCTTTAGACACAAGGTCCATCAACTGCCCCGTGTCCTGCCTTCTGATGCCCTGACTGGTCCTGGTTTCGCCCTCAGCGTGCACCTGCAGACGGGGCCCTGTGTTCCTCCTGGGGTGGGCGGGGCTGGCATTACCTGTGTTTCTAGCGTGCATTAACCGCGGCGAGTTTTGTAAGGCTTTATCCACATCATCGGAAGTCAAATGTGGAAGAGGAGCTACAAGACACAAGAAAGAGCAACATCCAAATGAAAAAGACTTCCCTTAATAAAAAGAAAGAAGAAAGAAAAGAGAGAGGAAGCCACGAGTCCCGTGCTCCCACCAGGGACTGGGGGAAATACCCACATCACCCGCTCAGCATGTTCCAGGGAGAGGTGACTGGCACACTGGGCAAAGCCACGCAGGGGAGGTCTCGGCCCCTCCACGCTCTCCTGGCCATGCCTGGCGGTGCAGAACTAAAGCCTACCGCAGATGCTCGGCTCCCTAGCCTGGTCACCAGTATGCCATGCCCCCTCCGTCCGGTAACGCTGACTGACTGTCTTGGTGAAGTGAAAACCTCCCTCCTTGTGCTGGGCTGGGCATGAAGGGCCCTGGCTCCGCTTCTGGCAAGATTCCCCTCAAGCAGGCACCTTGCTCTGGTGCTTCTATTTCAATTTAGGGCACTGTGGAGACCAGTGAGAGTGTGACCACAGAATGCGTCTTTTCCCTGGGACACTCCACCTTCCTGCCCACAGGGACCTGCGGGAGGTGGCACTGAGCTATGGTGGCTTCAAAGAAAAGCACTCACTACTTCTCACGGGTGACGTCTTGTTCGCCTACGTCCACGACCTTCTAGCACATTGTCCCCTTGGGTCCGAAACAGGCAAGGGGGGAGGGCAGGAAGCTGCTGTCCACCCCTGTGTCTGGACCCTCTGCAGCTCAGGCCCCTCAGCCCCTGGGGACAGCCAGTGCTCCTGGTGGGGAGGGGCGGCTTACTCTCTCTGAGGTAGTGGAGGTGGGAGAGCAGGATGTCAGCGTTGTAGCTCGGGGTGAGCCGCTGGAAGTCGTCCTTGGTCATCTTGCACAGCTCCTTGCCGTCGATATTCTGGAACAATAAGATGTCCACATCCGGAAGGCCATACTCTTTCACTGCCCACTCCAGCCACTGCCGGACATGGTCTGTGCTCCACAGTGTGGGATCTGAAAAGGGGAAAAACATCTGCCATCAACCTCTGAAGACAGGTTTTAGGGCAGAGTGTGCCCCAGCCCCAGCCCAGCCCAGCTCCAGCCCCAGCCCAGCCCAGACCAGACCAGCCCCAGCCCCAGCCCCAGCCCCAGCCCCAACCCCAGCCCCAGACCAGCCCCAGCCCCAACCCAGACCAGCCCCAGCCCAACCCCAGCCCCAGCCCAGTTCCAGCCCAGCCCCAGCCACAGCCCCAGCCCTAGCCCCAGACCAGCCCCAGCCCCAGCCCCAGCTACAGCCCCAACCCCAGCCACAACCACAGCCCAGCCCAGACCAGCCCAGCCCCA